TCCCAACTAATATTATAAATGCGAAAGTAACTCTGTCTGTCTGTCTGTCTGTCTGTCTGTCTGTCTGTTACGCTTTCCCGCTTAAACCTCGCAACCGATTTTGATGAAATTTGGCATAGAGATAGTTTGAGTCCCGGGAAAGAACATAGGATAGTTTTTATCCCGGTTTTTGAAACAGGGACGCGCGCGATAAAGTTTTTCTGTGACAGACAAAATTCCACGCGGGCGAAGCCGCGGGCGGAAAGCTAGTACAAATATAAATCCGGCTTCACTATCCCTTCCAAATTCCCTCCCTACAACACCATACTTTTACTAAAAACCAAATTATGCATGCGAATGAAAAGGGTAGTAAATAAAAAGTATTTTATATACAAAACATTTAATAATTAAACATAGAAATAGAATATATTATGCTATATATAAAGTGCGCTTAAATTACGGAATGCTTGTGACTAAGGGGTGTGCCCTACCCGGTCTCTGGGGATCAGGCGCAGTTCCGAGCCGTGCTTCAGGAATACATTCCCTGGAACAGGTAATAATAGAGTACATTTTCCAATAAAACCATTTGCAATCTTTTCTGACATCCAGACAGTATGAAATAGTGTTTTCTACTAGAGATGGATGGGACCACCACGGGAGGGTTTTTTTTACCCTCCTGTGTTGGTACACTATTAACTACTGGATATTTACCTATTGAGGGCTCTGGGCATATAAAGGCAGGCCCGGTTTCCACCAATGCGGAGAGGAGCGGTGCGGAGACGAGAGAAGTCTGAGCTGAGCGTAGTAGTCAGCTGTTAGTCTATTGCTATCTATGAAAGACCGCACATCTCCCCACCGCTCCGCTCTTCTCCGCATCGTTCCGCTATTCTCCGCACCGAGTCGCTGTCAAAAACTAGTGCGCCCGACACTTCTCCACTCGATCCATTTGGAAACCGGGCCTTATTACTTAAATAAGGCTAAGAACTCACGGAGCGATTTTCACCCGCGCCCGCCGCAGCTGCGGGTGAAAATCGCGCCGCGCGCTAAGGCACTGGTACAAAATGGTCGCCTGCCGATCGGGCGGTTTTCGCGCGGGCGAAAATTTATTCTGCAATTCTGCCGCGCCCGCTGCAGGCGAAAACCGCGTCGTGAGTTGTCCATTAGTTTTTACATAAGTATCTGCATTCTACAGAAGCTGCGGGCCCGCAACCACCGCGGGCGCGGGAGAAAATCGCGCCATGAGTTCTTAGGCCTCAGCCTCGAGTTAAGCGGGCAACGGGGCGGGAGCGGCGGCGGCGCGGGAGCGGGGCGGGCAACGCAGACCCGTTCTCGAAACAAGCGGGCAGCTCGCGCGGCGCTTTAGCGGCGAAGTGTTGTGTTCGGGGTTGTGTTGTCGAGATATTTGTTTTTATTCGCAAAGGAAATGTTTGAACAACGGCGACAATTTTATTTCGATTCAAATTTATGCCTAACGCTCGATTTATTGTGGGCAAAAGAAGGAGTGCGCTGCCCGCTCGTTGCCCGCTCCCGCCCCGCTGCCGCGCCGCTGTTTTCGAGAACCGGTCTATTTGATTTTACGCATAAGATCCTACCGCTCCCGCGCCGCCGCCGCTCCCGCCCCGCTGCCCGCTAAACTCGAGGCTGAGGCCTTAGCCTGACTGTTAAAAAAAACATGTAACTCTCACCGGCCGTCTGCTGCGGGTTGATGCCGATGCCGTCGTCGGTGATGATGGCGCTGGTTGCGGGCTCCACGCGGAACTCCTCCGCCGCGAACTTCAGCACCGCCGTGAACGGAGTCGCCTCGGGCACGCTGAGCCTGCAAGGATCATTATGGGTTGTGTTCGTTTCAGCCAAATGACGTCCACTGCTAGACAAAGGCCTCCCCCAAGGTTTTCCACAATGAACGGTCCTGCGCTGCCCGCATTCAGGCTCTTCCCGCGACCTTTACCAGATCGTCGGTCCACCTAGTAGGAGGCCTGCCCACGCTACGTCTTCCAGCCCGTGGTCGCCACTCGAGAACTTTCCTGCCCCAACGGCCATCGTCTCTACGAGCTATGTGCCCCGCCCACTGCCACTTGATTTTAGCAATTCTGCGAGCTATGTCGGTTACTTTGGTTCTGTACAACTAGGTTTTCCTAGATGAACATGAATAGCAAGGCAGTGGCGGATTTATACTCGATACTAGCTTTCCGCCCGCGGCTTCGCCCGCGTGGAATTTTGTCTGTCACAGAAAAACTTTATCGCGCGCGTCCCTGTTTAAAAAACCGGGATAAAAACTATCCTATGTTCTTTCCCGGGACTCAAACTATCTCTATGCCAAATTTCATCAAAATCGGTTGCGAGGTTTAAGCGGGAAAGCGTAACAGACAGACAGACAGACAGACAGACAGACAGACAGACAGACAGAGTTACTTTCGCATTTATAATATTAGTTGGGATGTATCTAATACTAAAGTCCGGTCGCCGAGCAGATAGATTTTCGTACAATGACCCCAAGCTACCCATCCTTATCGCTCGCGCGTCATTATATTGCTGTCGCGACTGTGCGACGGGCGCAGCAATGAGTGTGCGAGCGCGACAGCCACACAGTGGCGGATTTAGTTTTGCCGCCCGTAGGCTAAGGTGGGGTTGGATCTTTATTTAACTTTTATCTTTTGAAATCGAGTAAGCGTCATCTGAAATCTGCCACCCCTAGGCCGCGGCCTATTGACAGATCCAGGACTGCAGCCACAGCAATAAACGCGCGAACGATAAGGATTGGTAACTTTATACATTGTAAAAAACGGAAAGCAGTGGCGGTTTTACACTCGATAGGGTAAATATTTTTGTACTAACATTTTAGCCCAACTTTTCCGCCCTAAACTTCTACTGTGTACAGACTTAGATTAATAAAGGCGTTATTAATCTAGGCTTACAGGTAAATCCGCCCCTACTGGCGCAAAGCAGTAGGCCTACCTACCATAGATGTAAGAGGAATCGTTAATTCTCACAAGAGCGACGCATCACGTGACATATTTATTATTGTTACACTTATGTAGTCCACATATTTTATTTTCTGAATCTAGTAGCCACGAGCACGCAATACGCACGAGTATATTATTTATAGAGTGAGGATTGGGTCTTAGAGGATGTTAAAGGATTTTTCAATAACAAATAGTAATCTATGTATTACAATAAGTAGGTACTACAGTTGAAGTGAAGCATAGTACATTAATGAGTACCTATCTATTGGTGGAAATGTCCGAGTCATACCGCGACTTATCTCAAAATAAAGTAAATTACTATTTGTCATCACAAGCAAAAGTTGAGTGAGTGCAATAATAATACACATAAGTTGAAAAAATGTTGTATAAAATCCACATTTTAATTTAATTACATTAACTAAACAAAAAATTCTTATAATTACAAATAAAAAAATAAACTAATACTAATCATGATACAATATTTTCCCAGAATGCTAAATCAGATTTATTCTCATTAACAATATCAAAGAACTCATACTTTAAGTTTTCATTTGAACATATTTTTCTTACATTTCTTGCCAATTCTGAATATGTGAGGTCTATGTAGAAACATTCTGCAGACATCTGCTCTCGAAGCAGCATACCACAATCTAATAATGCCTTTACCACTATTTTAAACAACTCACTGTGCATGAGACACATCTTTAAAAAATATTCCTCATCAACATCGAAAAGATACTTCCAAAAATTCTTATGTGTAAATTTTCTGCCCTTCAAAACATCTAATAATAAGTTAACTATAGCATTAACAGCACTCAAGTAATGAATATCATCGTTAATTAAACTAACTACTATCAACTCTACCGTGTCTTGGTTGCAGGTGTCAAACATCGCTGCAAATGACTCCGGAGGGTTCTCACAACTGCTCATCTCAGACAGAAATAACTTGCTTTTCAATTCCAGGATTTTCCCTTTAGGTATCTCTTGTGGCAAGTTCCTAAGCAGGGTCTCTTTGGATGCTGCTTCTAGCATCAATTCTGTCAAACAGTTTTCTAATTTCTCTTCACTAAACATTTCAAGAAACAACTTAAACCCTATGTCCATTTGGTTTATTTTTGTATTGGAATTGATTATTTTTTTCAAAATGTACTTTGGTGGGTCAGAGAAACAACTTTTAAGGAATGCATTAGGCACATCTTGGTTACTATTCACAGTAGAAAGAAACTCATTGAGTATATTCCGCTTTTGCAGCTTATCAAGACAATTTTCAATGTGTTGAGATATCAAAAAGGCATTTTTCATTTCAGCCTCGCTTGTATCATTATTTGGCCAGTTTTCAGACTGACACAAGCTCAGAAAGTCTTGGAAGAAGTCGAGAAATTGTCGCACTACAGCTGTATCCATGATAAAGCGATGCAACTTCAACACAGAGCGCAGGACCTCAGCATCTGTTAACAGTGAACAAATTCCATTTGTATCTTTATTTGTTACAAATATCTGCATAATTTGATCATGAACTCTACGTTGAAGTTACTTCACTCGCTACTTTAACTTTACAATTAATAAAAAACTGATAAACTTACACTTTGAAGGGAAGTTTGGGGTCTGAAGTGAGAGTGATCTTGAATGTTACTTTAGACCTGAAAAGGTTAGAAAATTATATTAAATCATGAAAAAAACTATAAAAGATACACGTAAGGAAGAAAACCATAGAAAAGTATACTCACATATTTGTAAGGTAAAGGAAAATTGGGATGAATTGGAGAAAAACGAGACTTTTCTTGTTTCGTAAAGTGAAAGATCCACAATGACGTACACACAAAGTGTCAGATTTGACAAATGTCAAAGTATATGCTGCGTTCATTGCACATGAATTTAGAGTTTGCAAAAATTTATCATTGAAGGTCTACACCTACGCACTTTTCTCGGCTTCTCTGATATTATGTTGTGTTGCATTGCATTGCATTGAATTGCGCAATTTATCTCATGGTGTTGACTGAAAAGTAAAATAGAAAGATTAAATAAAATAAACAACAAGCAAACGCAGCCACAAACAGCTGACAGCAATCAGCTGTCTCCTATCACTCATGACATCTGTCATTTACGACAGCCACGAAAAAATCAATAAATTGTTTACCCTGTTTTTAAATTGTAATTGTTTGTTTAATGTTGTGAAAATGATCCAGCATCGAAATGCGGTTGAAACTCTGACTATAGTATCTTGCACTGGCACATTCTTTTCCGTCATATTGCATTATGTGTCGGACATCTCCCCCTTGACCGGAATATGGTTTCCCATTTTCATTTTCGTTGTTTTTTTCGTTTCTGTGGCTTTTAGTTTTAAGTTTCTGCAGTGGCTGTTGCAATTAAATAAACCTGTGAAATATGATTTGGAGGAGCTTGTCAAAGAATATCCTTATTTGTCATTTCTGCGGGAGGTATTGCCGTGCCCTCCCAAGAGGAAAACGAAAGAAGTCAGGGAGGATTACGATACCAATGAGTTGAGCGTGATAACTACGGTTTTGGAGCGTAAGTTGGTGTCGTCATGGTACGTGCCCTACATATCTCAGGAGATTGGCTTTCCTTTTGCATGCAAGCAAATGTTGGACCAAATGATTGGCAAAATGTTCCAGGTTTGTTACTAATTGAGCTCTGTTCATATCAGAAATGAATTTATTTTTATGAATTAAATTACAACTAAATGATTTCAATGAAGCCATAGATAATTATTTTATTTTTATTTATAGATTTGCAACAAGATAGAACCAAAAGATGTTTATGTTGACATTTGCTCCATAATGATCAGCCACTTGAAGGAGTACCGCAAGGCTTTGAAACGGCACGAAAAATCTCCCACTAGCACTATAGAATCTCATTACAAAACATCTCATCCGATATCCAACTCGGATCAGATGTTAGAATCTGCTGACCACTGCACCAATGTTNTTTTATCCCGGTTTTTGAAACAGGGACGCGCGCGATAAAGTTTTTCTGTGACAGACAAAATTCCACGCGGGCGAAGCCGCGGGCGGAAAGCTAGTAAGCTATAAGAATCAAAGCACACGATCAGTTGCGGCGGCGGTGAGATGTCGGAGCCGTGTCGCTGCGTCTTACATTGAACTAACTAACTAATGCATCGTGTACTTTGGCTCTAAAACACTTGATAGAATTGTTGTGTTTCTGATAATCAGCAGCTGTGGTTTGGCAAGAGAAAAAATTTGCCTTTCAAACATTTTTTTTTTTTTTATGTGATAGGAGGCAAACGAGCAGACGGATCACCTGATGGTAATTAAACATTCATTCAAAATGGTGTGCAGTTTTTAATTCAGACAGTGGTGATTTTACCCATTTCTAGCCAGTAGGCTATTCCAACACCCATCCAGATGTCTAACGTCCTCTATTTTTGTCGCTCCCGAAATTCCGTCACTGGAGAGAGAAAAAAATTGCGACAATAGTCCAGTTGGAATTGTCATTCTCACTAAAATGTCTCTGGGGTGGTGGCGTAGTGAGGCGGGTCGTTACATTCCCTCTAATATGGTCGAGTGAAGCGATGGCTGGTTCACTCGTCATGTCTGTGAACAGGCGCTGCTTTCGGGGACTGGTCAATCCAAGTTATTCAAATTTATGTATGCGAGTCATTTCTACTAGTATCTTAATATGTAAGTCTAGATATTAGCACGTCACTACCTTGTTTAATATACCACGCAATCTTGTATACCCATTCTTATAAGATACACCATACAAGAATGCATGGTAAATTCAGTGAACTGCTCCTGAATCGAATGTAGGACTACTACTATTTCTATTTATTTATATTAACCGGCAGACAGTGGTGACTGAGTTTGTTGCGGCGCTTCTTCTCAGCACTTGCCAAATGTTGGTCTCGAAGCGCTGGTAGGGTAAAAAGATTATGAGACATGTAGAGGCTCCTTAAGAGCAAAATGACGATTTGTAAGAACTATTTATTAGTCCAAACAAATAAAGAAATTTTGACTTTGACTTTGACTTTTGACCTTTGACTTTAACGATGAAAGTAGCGGACTGGCCGATTCGATGAGCATTTTCATAATACAGTCACTTGTCCTATTTGGTGCAGTTATTGTAATACGGAGCTTAAAATACCAGGCTTAATAAGAAACCTTGTCGCCAGGCGAGGAGGACGCCATCGAGTTAGACCTGGCCGACTCCCCCCAGAAGGAGCCGAGTCCCGTTCGCAAGGAGACCAGCCCGAAGCCCGCCGACNCTAACGTTCTTCGTGTGGTCCTCAAAGAACTGGTACCGTGGGAACTATGGGACACACCCCATTCAGAGTTGCTAGTTCGAATTCTATCTAAAAAGCTAGACACATTCATTGGGGAGACATTAGCTGACCCTGTTTGGCTGAATGATAAATTACTTACGATTTTAAAAGACGAAGAAAGTACAGAAACTGTTCCTGAAAAGGCTGAAGTGGAAACAAAAGAAGAAATACAAGAAGTTTTTAACGTTAAGGAGGAATTATCAGAACCGATTGTGGAAAAACCTACAGTGGAATCTGCGTTATCGACGTTAATTACGAATACAACGGCTCCTATTTTACAGAGACCTTTAAATGAAGAGGTTAAAGAAGAAGTAAGTGTGGCAAGTGAGATGATTGAGAGTATTGTTGAGGAAGTGCCCGTGACGACTTCAGATCCCCTTGATATCAAGTCATCGCCGATATTGAGGCAACGACGCGGCAGGCAGGGCAGGAATGAAGTTAAGATCTATGACAGAATTATTGAAGGTAGGCATTTTTTGCTTTAAAATACACTTTCTGAAATTAAACCTTATTTGTTTTCCTCAAAAATAAATTGTCATACCATGATGTAGTTGTTGCTATGTGAACTTATTCACATTTTATAATTAGGCAAGAACAGCTGATTAATTTCAAGAGATGGATGCATCTCAGGTCGTGCTTACGAGCCTTACGTTCTGCAGTAGTCATTTTAAAGAGTGTTATGATGATGAATGCTGTCAACATTGTGTTGTCTACCATCTTCGCTATCGCATCGCTACTAAAAGCTTATGACTCATGGTTGGAGTAGGAAGTGTTGTTTTGATTTTGTAAATATCAAACATGATGGTCCAAACTCCATTTACAAGGCTGAGTGTGTAAAAAGTGTGTTTCATAAAGCCACGATAACCGAACGGTGAAAGGGTCGGACTGGACGACTCATGATCCTGGGACCGCTGGTTCGAACCCGCCGCTCGACTATTGTGATGAACCCAGCTTAGCAAGAGGGGTTAACGGGACTATTAATCTGAGTTGTTCAATAACGTAAGATGGTGCAACCCAGGCTTAGTAATTTGACCGCCAACAGGCAGCGTGAAGACCTGGGAGACGGACATCGACCTGCAGTGCATCAGCCTGGGCCAGGACCTGCTGGCCAGCCTGGACGGCGAGCTCACGCTGAGCCGGCTGTGGGGGCAGGACGCCGACGCCGACGGGAGCCCCAACCCGCCCAGGCGCAAGTCGCCGCAGCCACTGTGGTTTGGTAAGTTCACATTACCCAGTATCTAAGCCTATAAAACACTTGATTGAATTGTGGTGTTTTTGATAATAGTCCGCAGGCACTGTGGTTTGGTAAGAGAAATTTAAATTATGTAACCTTAAAAACCACCTTTCATTCAATTAAATCGTTTCTGAGACAGACAGATTTGCCTCCAGTAGGGGATCCATGTACTCACATCCACAAATCTTACGTCCTCTACAATTTCCCGCCCCCAAAAAGCTGATCTTATATAAACATTCTACAGGTTCCTGACCCCCGGTAGTTTTTTTTCGGACGGACATTGCTGATGTCCATCCTTTTGCTTTAGCAACGACCCTAAGAGCGCCCCCGAGTGGGCCTCGACCCTAGGCTGTTGCTGTGCACGAGACGGTCTGGCTCGCCAATGTTGTGAAACTTACATAATAAGCCATTGCGACATTCCTTGCCAATGCAAATGGCTTCGCCACATCGAAGAAGAGGGCGCCAGTTTTGTAGGACGTTGACTACTGAAACCGGCTACGGCGACTATGCGATGCACCTGTTTGATCGCATACTTCGTTTGGAATAAGGCTCTTGGACTCTATAAAGTCCTTGAGTCATACATAGATAAGCCGTTCATACAGTTTCCGAACACCAGGCTTATTAAAAAACCTTGTCACCAGGCGAGGAGGACGCCATCGAGTTAGACCTGGCCGACTCCCCCCAGAAGGAGCCGAGTCCCGTCCGCAAGGAGACCAGCCCCAAGCCCGCCGACGCACTCCTCAAGGACCTGCAGACCACCGTCCACCAAGCTAAGACTAAGATCGGAGACCTCCAGGTCCCACGCAAACTTTCAATAGATGTGCCCCGCAAGCAATACTCCGGTGTATGTTAGAGTTTATGCACGATCTGTCAGCTTCTCTTGGCTTTTAAGTTAGTTAAGTGAATTTTTCATCACATACCCGCGCGGCTGTGTTTGAGAACTTATTCGTGAATTTACGAACGTTATTACAAATTACTAAGCATTACAATTCTCGCACAAACTAGAATCGGCAATACAACTTCGGCCCAGAACAGACGGTGAAACGAAACTGCAACTTTGTGATGATTCTGATGAATGAAACTGAAACTGAAAATTTCAAACTGGTCGCGTCATGTGTGGTCACTCAACGGACGCTATGGCAGAAACTTATATGCAACTCAAAAGTAACTAGCAGTTGCAGTTTCGTTGCAGTTGCGTTTCACGGCACCGTCTGTTCTGGGCCTTAGAATCATCGAGAACAAGTTCATTTTAGAAACAGTTTGAATTAGAAAGATGTTTAAAAATCCAGGTTCAGAATCACAGCCGGGCGGTAAACATTTCGCTATCAGATACGAAAACTTTTAGTTTCTTTGATATTGATTGGATTTTATAATGTGTAATACTTTTTCATTTTAGCTCAGTATCGGCTTCGCATTGAGGAGTTTTGCTTTAAGATCTATTTGTTGGTTTAAAATGACTCTTTTCCTCTAAAAGTTTTCCATTTCTGATAATATAATGGCATGGGAATGTTCTGTTCCACAAGATATAGATATTGGGTTGTGGTGTCTGCATGTTGGTTAACACCCATATCCTAAGATGATTTTAGTGTTAAAAGTTGTCTCGTAAATATTAAAATTAGTCATATTAAGGGTATCACGAGAATATGGGTGTTAACGGTAATGCAATATGTGGATAGGAGTCGCATGAAAAACTGTGTGTCAACTGTGACGTTTTGTTAGATTTTCTTCTTCTGTAATTTTTTAAAATAATCAAGTTTGTTATGTTGATAGCACATTAAGGTAACTCTGTGATAATTGACATCAATATATAGGCAATACGTTCTATTGTTGCATAGAAATGTATAGATTGATATGATGTCGCCTATTCTCAAAAAGCGCAGTACGATATTGCCTAAATTTACTTTAGGTAAAGAAAGACGGAAGGATTGATACCAACGAGGCATCGATGCTAAATGGAATGAGACGGCGCGCGATGCGTGCGATGTTAGGCAACACGCGTGCGCTGTCTGCATGTCCATTGATTAATAATACGAAACTAGTAATTTTTTTTATCAATCTAATAATTTTATTAACTAATCATTTTAAGACAAATATTCAGTCTTGAAAAAAATAAGAAAAATGAAAATGTACTGTTGATGATTTCTTAAAAATTTGCTGAAGGGTTTCTTTTTTATATTCTATTATCACTGATTGATTATACACACATCATTACTGAACAGGCATTGCGCTGCGTAGTGTGTAATAGCTTCATGCAGCCTATTACTGAGAGAGGTCTCATGTGCTTTTTCTATACAAGTAGCCTTCATAGATAAAGAGAAAGACAGATGTGACCTGGGAGATGTGTTTTTAAGTTTATGACATACTACCTAATACCTCCGAAATATAAATAGATGCCAAACCTCAAATCTCAAATGAAATGTACAGTTATTTGACACTAGGCAGCGCAAGGCTCTTTAGAACTAGGCATGCTAGACATTACCATAATAATATCCGCGTTAAATCAAATTCTCACGCGCTTCGATTGTCCAGGACGAAGCGGCAGGCATGATGGAGGGCCTGCTAGACTTCGGCATCGCGGGATTCAAGAAAGGCCTCCGGTTTACGGGACTCAGCGACGATTCGCAGGTTAGCTTCATCATCATCATCATCATCATTTCAGCCATAGGACGTCCACTGCTGAACATAGGCCTCCTAATGCTTTCCAAGTTGATCGATTGGTAGCGGCCTGCGTCCAGCGCGTCCGCAGGTTAGCTTATCATCTTCAAATCTTCTCACATGTATCTTGGAATCATTCTTAAAATCATCAATCATCCAACCACTAGTTGGGTTTTTATTGGCGGTCAAGCTGTAGATCCTGTCTACACAGGTGTTGCAGCGGTGGGAACGAGAGGTGGGAATAGTTCCGTGCCCATGTCATTACTAAAACTGGTAAATGGTAATTATTCTCGTACTATTAATATCTTGTGATATTAATTTCATCTCATTTCCACCTTCCATTTCGGTTGGTACAGATCAATTTTGAACTACTTTTCATACACTAAATACAGAGCTTGAAATATCTATGCATAAATATTGGAGGTACCTAATAAAAATAATTGCACTTTTCTAGGAAAAGTCCCCGTCCCATAGAGAGAAAGGAGGGAATGGTGAGAAAATGTCTCCTCCAGAAACAAGCCCTAAGGCGAAGACGGCGGCCGAGCCCAAGGAGGCGGGCTCCTCCACAGTCATACAGAAAGGTACCACAGCGAAACAATTTAAATCAAAACTTTATCATAATTATATTCTTTCGTATGATTTTTCTAAATATTGCTTACGAACCAATAAAGTTTCGTACCACGTAAACAAGCTGTTACGAAAAAAAGCACTTAAACACGTCCCAAACATAGCTTGGATTACCAACGTTCATTCATTTAATTAAGCAGTATAGTAGGTAATATTAATAATATTATTAATCTAACTACTAAAACTAAAATTAAAAAAAAATCTTAAAAAAAATATTTTTGATCAAATATGGGTACTCCACAGGCTTTAAAATTAAATGAAACATTTTCCAGAAGACAACGGTAACGGTTCAGCCCCGCAGTTAATTAAGCAGCAGAGAGTCATCTCCCAGGATAGCGTGGTAAGTTCTATTGGCTGTAGTCATTGGTTGTAGCTCTCTTTGACTAAAACTACATATACAAACTGTCAAGGTTACTTGGTTACGAAAAGTCGTCGGCAGAAGCTAGATGCGACAACTCGAAGAAAGACAAGATACATAGGCGCGTATTGGGGATTGCCTATATCCAGTGGACCGAGTGTGTATTTGTATTTCGACGAAATCGCAACTACACTCGACATCAAATAAATCGCACCTCCTGCGACAAGCATTTTCAAACGTATGCATCCCCACTTCCCACCAATATTGGCACCATTTAAAAGCCTAGTTCTAACCTTCTTTTCATCAAAGGAAAGTTTTTTACCCCAAAAATGTGTCTTTAGAAGGATCCAGAGTCTCTTCTTCAAAAAATAGGTAGTTACTCTTGAGCCAACTTTTATGGATATAAAACTGTTAAGTTGGGATTAATCGCTATCCATCTGTTAAAGAGGACACGTTAGATCATTATTTGGTTTTATAACCTTAAAAATTGGTCTAATTGATCCCAGAGGTGGGCCCAAAGTGAGGTATTTTTTCACTTCACATTTATGGTATATGTTAATCATTTATTAAGAAATTAAATGAGTTTTTTTTTAAGGATATTTATTGGGCTTTCAAATAACACCAATATTGATGGGGCACCATGATTGTGTCAGAAGAAAATCTTTAAAGTTCGCGTCGCGGAAGGTGCGATTTATTTGATGTTGAGTATATATAACGAATAACCTGATTCGGGAGTTCTAACGATGCACGATGACACAAAATCCCAAATCAAATCAAAAATATTTTATTTATTCATTCAATATTGATTCATTATGGCATTAAGCTCGCCTGTTGTACCACTGTTTTTATGTGTGCAATAAAGATTTGAAATAAGTAAATATTATTGAACAGTATTTTGGCACTTATGAGTTCGTTTTTATTAATTAACTAAAACCTCTTTACTTGTTCTTTTCCAGCCGTCTCAAGCCAAGGCGATTCCCCGCGAGCCGCCGCCGCCGTTGGGAGCTCTGAGTGATTCCCCGGAGCCCGAGTACGAGGAAGCGGCCGATCTCTCCACCAGCATCGCCAAGCTGCGCTGTCTGCTGCAGCAGCGCGCCGAAGCGGGGCCCAGGTGAGCTACTGAGCTCCTGAGCTCAATGAAAGCGCGCTGAGGACGGCACAGAAAAGTTACTGAGCTCCTGAGCTCACTAGAGGCATTCTGAGGCCGACCCAGAAAATTTACTGAGCTCCTGAGCTCACTGAAGGCATGCTGAGCCCGGCCCTAGGTGAGCTAATTAACTCCTGAGCTCACTGGAGGCGTGCCGAAACCGGCCCCAGAAAAGTTACTGAGCTCATGAGCTCACTGGAGGCATGCTGAGGCCGGCCCCAGGTGAGCTACTGAGCTCTTGAGCTCACTGTAGACGCATAGAGCCCGGCCCAGGTGAGCTAGTGAGCTACTGAGCTCACTGGACCACACGCGAGCCGTTGCCAGATGAGCTACTGATCTCTTAAGCTCACTGGCATGCTGAGGCTGGCTCCAGGTGAGCTACTGAGCTCCTGAGCTCACTACAGGCGCGCCGAGCCTGGCCCAGATGAGCTACTGAGTTCCAAGGACCACGCGCGACCAGTTGCCAGATGAGCTACTGAGCTCTTGAGTTCACTGGAGGCATGTTGAGGCCGGCCCCAGGTGAGCTATTGAGCTCACTGAATTCCCCGCGAGCCGCCGCCGCCTCTGGGAGCTCTGAGTGATTTCCCGGAGCCCGAGTACGAGGAAGCGGCCGATCTCTCCACCAGCATCGCCAAGCTGCGCTGTCTGCTGCAGCAACGCGCCGAGGCCGGGCCCAGGTGAGCTACTGAGCTCGTGAGCTCAATGGAGACGCACTGAAGCCAGCGTTAGGTGAGCTACTGAGCTCAATAGAGGTGCGCCGATACTGACCAAAAGTAAGGTACTGAGCTAACTGAGCCAACCCAGAAAAATTACTGAGCTCTTGAGCTCACTGCAGGCGCGCCGAAGCCGGTCCCAAGTGAACTACTGAGCTCTTGAGCTCACTGGAGGCGCGCCGAAGCCGGTGCCAAGTGAGCTACTGAGCTCGTGAGCTCATTGCAGGCGCGCCGAGCCTGGCTCAGAAAAGTTACTGAGTCCTTGAGCTCACTGGAGGCATGATGAAGGCGGCCCCAGATGAGCTACTGAGCTCTTGAGCTCACTGCTGTAGACGCATAGAGCCCGGCCCAGGTTAGCTAGTGAGCTACTGAGCTCCAAGGACCACGCGCGAGCAGTCGCCGGATGAGCTACTGAGCTCTTGAGCTCACTGGAGGCATGTTAAGGCCGGCCCCAGGTGAGCTATTGAGCTACTGAGCTCACTGAATTCCCCGCGAGCCGCTGCCGCCACTGGGAGCCCTGAGTGACTCCCCGGAGCCCGAGTACGAGGAAGCAGCTGACCTCTCCACCAGCATCGCCAAGCTGCGCTGTCTGCTGCAGCAGCGCGCCGAGGCCGGGCCCAGGTGAGCTACTGAGCTCCTGAGCTCACTGGAGGCGAGCTGAGGACGGCACAGAAAAGTTACTGAACCCTTGAGCTCACTAGAGGCATGCTGAGGCCGACCCATAAAAGTTACTGAGCTCCTGAGCTTATTGGAGGAAGCGTGCTGAGGCCGGCCCCAGGTGAGCTACTGAGCTCTTGAGCTCACTGTAGACGCATAGAGCCCGGCCCAGGTGAGCTACTGAGCTCACTGGACCACACGCGTGCCGTTGCCAGGTGAGCTACTGAGCTCCTGAGCTCAATGCAGGCGCACTGGGGCCGGCTCTAGGTGAGCTACTGAGCTCGTGAGCTTACTGCAGGCGCGCTGAGTTTGGCCCATAAAAGTTACTGAGCTCAGTAGCTCACTGTAGACGCATAGAGCCCTGCCAGGTGAGCTAGTGAGCTACTGAGCTCACTGGACCACACGCGAGCCGTTGCCAGATGAGCTACTGATCTCTTAAGCTCACTGGAGGCATGCTGAGGCTGGCTCCAGGTGAGCTCTTGAGCTCACTGGAGACGCACTGAGGCCAGCGTTAGGTGAGCTACTGAGCTCACTGCAGGCGCGTCGAAGCCGGTCCCAAGTGAGCTACTGAGCTCCTGAGCTCAATGGAGGCGCGCTAAGCCGGCCCCAGGTGAGCAATTGAGCTCCAAGGACCACGCGCGAGCAGTCGACAGATGAGCTACTGAGCTCTTAAGCTCACTGGAGGCATGTTGAGGCCGACCCCAGGTGAGCTATTGAGCTATTGAGCTCACTGAATTCCCCGTGAGCTGCCGCCGCCCTAGGGGCTCTGAGCGATTCCCCATAGCCCGAGTACGAGGAAGCAGCCGATCTCTCCACCAGTATCGCCAAGCTGCGCTGTCTGCTGCAGCAGCGTGCCGAGGCTGGTCCCAGGTGAGCTACTGAGCTCCTGAGCTCAATGAAAGCGCGCTGAGGACGGCACAGAAAAGTTACTGAGCTCCTGAGCTCACTAGAGGCATGCTGAGCCCGGCCCTAGGTGAGCTAATTAACTCCTGAGCTCACTGGAGGCGCGCCGAAGCCGGTCCCAAGTGAGCTACTGAGCTCCTGAGCTCAATGAAGGCGCGCCTAGGCGTACCCAGAAAAGTTACTGAGCTCCTGAGTTCACTGGACCACGCATGAGCCGTCGCCAGATGAGCTACTGAGCTCTTGAGCTAACTGCAACCGCGTTAATGCTGGTCATAGGTGAGCTACTGAGATCCTGAGCTCAATGGAGGCGCGCTGAGGCCGGCTCTAGGTGAGCTACTGAGCCCTTGAGGTCTTTGGAGTCATGCTGAGGCTAGCTCCAGGTGAGCTACTGAGCTCCTGAGCTCACTGCAGGCGTGCCAAAGCCGGCCCTAGGTGAGCTACTGAGCTCCTGAGCTCACCGGAGGCGCGTCGAGACCGGGTCCTTAGTGAACTCAATGTGGAGCTCAGAGGTCACGCAGATCTCGTCTTTTATCACCACATATTAGTGCTTATCAAGTGTTATCAGTTTGTATACTTACCTAAACTATATAAACTCTGGTCTTCCTAATATAAATAAATTAAATAAAATGTGCCCAGAGCTTCGAGTAGGTTATAGAGATGAGACGTATTTACTAGAACAGATCCACACACTAGGTATTTTACAGTACTAAGTGGCACCTATTCCAATTTTTAAAATACTTGATCCACCTAGTATTTTTTAAATTACACGATTTCCAACCCTACCATCAAAGTAATAGAGGTTATTATTGCATAATCCGTAGTCGTCCACCTAGTATTTTTTAAATTACACGATTTCCGACCCTACCATCAAAGTAATAGAGGTTATTATTGCATAATCCGTAGTCGTGTATTACGCGCACCGCGTATTTCTCGCTAAGCTTATGTGCGAACGTAGAGATTCACTCCGTCTCTGTCTGACAAACAAATTTGAGCGCAGGCAGGTGTGAGATAGGAATAGCCTGTTGAAGTATGAAGGGAGGATATCAATAAATCAACAGCCAGCAAAAACATTATTATTCAATTTCAAATTGCATTATTAATACTACGGTTGTATCTTTTCAAAGAAAATTGTATTTTAAAGTCATAATACGTGGATTAGTCCGCACTAGTCGCGTCAAGTATGGTAAATTACTACGTACTAGGTGGAATAGGTATTTGGATCAAGTATTAATAAATACTTGGAATAGGTATGAAAGCGAATAAAGGGCTAATAGCTTGGGTAGTTCATCGTAGGTATAATCCTTTCCTTTTCAATGCTTCTTTTAGTTATATTAATAGATTGTAGTCATAATACATACTCGTATACATGGATGATTGTGTTATACTTTCATTATAATACTTAGTGGAATTACTGCTTTCAAAACGTGAATTAGAACTGGCCCCATAGCAGACATTTTCCTACATCTAAAGGCCTTTTAAAATATATATTGGTTATGGCTATTGGAGCGGGTACCACTTTCCATACATTTGTGCCCATCATCCTTTACCTAGTATAACCCATCTCTAGTAGGTTAAAGACGGGCCTGACGAGATGGCGCAGTGTAAAATGTTCAAGGATATTATTCATCTGTGCTTAACAACACTGTGTCACTGGTATTTATTTATTTATATTATTACTGTACATACTACACTCGGCATCAAATAAATCGCACCTCCGCGACAAGCACTTATCAAACGTATGCATCCCCACTTCCCACCAACATTGGTACCATTTGAAAGCCTAGTTCTAAACTTCATTTCATTAAAGGAAAGGTTTTTACCCCAAAAATGTGTCTTTACAAGGATCCAGAGTCACTTCTTTAAAAAAGCTTTAGTTACGCTATAGCCATTTTTTATGACTATAAAACTGTTAAGTTGGGATTAGTCGCTATCCATCTGTTAAAGAGGACACGTGAGATATTTATTTGGTTTTATAACCATAAAAATTGGTCTAATTAATCCCAGAGGTGAGCCCGAAGTGAGGTCTATTTTCAAGTCACATTTATGGTATATGTTAATCATTGATTTATAGCCCGACCAGGAACATAAAAACCCTCGCCATGTTGCGGAAAACTAATGGTACTAATTTCTTTTAATGGCAACAGTAACTGAAAACTTCATAGACATGTCATCTTGCATGTCAATCTATTGCTGTCAAAGTGTAAACAAACTTTATTTTAAATGTGCGCAATTGATTTTGTGAATTAAATTGCTAAAATCTTTTTATAGTCGTGAAAGAAAAGTGGTTCACAATGTGTTAAAGTATTGGTCGAAGAGAAATACTAAGGGTTCGGACAATATTTTCATTGAATAATGTTTCCGACAAAGGTTGTCAAATTGACTGACATGTTTATCGTATAGTACAGTCCACTATGAAAATTAGCTGTGGTTTGTTTCAACTACACATTTTAAATTTTTTTGTCACTTTCGTGTTGAATTTTATGGAATTGGGAAAGAAGTAGGTACCGAGTTTGAAGCGTTCATGAGCAGACATTGCAGTTGAATATTCAAGTTCTGAATTTGATTATTGATGAACTAGCTTTCCGCCCGCGGCTTCGCCCGCGTGGAATTTTGTCTGTCACAGAAAAACTTTATCGCGCGCGTCCCTGTTTCAAAAACCGGGATAAAAACTATCCTATGTTCTTTCCCGGG